GCAAAGCGCATGTCCGCTTAACCCAGCATACGGCTTTGCCCCACTTATCCTGCGCCTTGTTCTTGGAATTGACTGGCCTCTTACTCCCCCGCAGCTCAAGTTTCGCACAATTATTATGTATCAATTTATAGAGGTGAATGCACACACCATTCACGGTCGGACATCCGTGAACATCTAGGAGCGGTGTGTAGTATGCAAACACAAATGAGATATATCTAGCCAAAAATTCTAAGCAGAAAGGTGCGATGGTAGGGAGTCACTAGCTGGCTGTCGGTGGAAGAGAAGAGGGTGGCAAAGTCGCAGAGTAGCGAAAAAGTGAGGACGACAAGCACAGCACAAGCACCACGCCATGTCACGTCGAGTCGTGGTGCTGAGCAAAATTCCCCCAGTACCAGTCGCGACCGAGTAGACGGGTGATATGCGCCGAACGCCGCCTTGCCCCGATAGGACACGGCCGACCTGGCGTTGGGTGGGATTCCGAGCAAAAGACGGGCCCAGCCGGTGATCGAAACCGGGAGCTCTCGCACCCAAAGCGAGAATCATACCACTAGACCACTAGGCCGCCAACCTAGTCTCATCACAAACACATGTCGCGCATACCCCGACAGCCACATCACATGCAAGCGCATGTCGCTAACGCACGCAATACGCTTTTGCCCACCTATGCTGCGCTTGCTCCTTGAATTGATGGGCTCTAACTCTCCCTACAGCACAAGTTACGCACAATTATTATGTATCAATTTATAGAGGTGAATGCACACACCATTCACGGTCGGACATCCGTGAACATCTAGAAGCGGTGTGTAGTATGCAAACACAAATGAGATATATCTAGCCAAAAATTCTAAGCAGAAAGGTGCGATGGTAGGGAGTCACTAGCTGGCTGTCGGTGGAAGAGAAGAGGGTGGCAAAGTCGCAGAGTAGCGAAAAAGCGAGGACGACAAGCACAGCACAAGCACCACGCCATGTCACGTCGAGTCGTGGTGCTGAGCAAAGTTCCCCCAGTACCAGTCGCGACCGAGTAGACGGATGATACGCGCCGAACGCCGCCTTGCCCCGATAGGACACGGCCGACCTGGCGTTGGGTGGGATTCCGAGCAAAAGACGGGCCCAGCCGGTGATCGAAACCGGGAGCTCTCGCACCCAAAGCGAGAATCATACCACTAGACCACTAGGCCGCTAACCTAGTCTCATCACAAACACATGTCGCGCATACCCCGACAACCACATCACATGAAGCGCATGCCACTAACGCACGCAATACGCTTTTGCCCACCTATGCTGCGCTTGTTCCTTGAATTGATGGTCTCTAACTCTCCCTACAGCACAAGTTACGCACACTTATTATGTATCAATTTATAGAGGTGAATGCACACACCATTCACGATCAGACATCCGTGAACATCTAAAAACGGTGTGTAGTATGCAAACACAAATGAGATATATCTAGCCAAGAATTTTGAACAGAAAGGTGCGATGGTAGGGAGTCACTAGCTGGATGTCGGTGGAAGAGGAGAGGGTGGCAAAGTCGCAGTGTAGCGAAAAAGCGAGGACGACAAGTACAGCACCAGCACCACGCCATGTCACGTCGAGTCGTGTTGCTGAGCAAAATTCCCCCAGTGCCAGCCGCGACCGAGTAGACCGGTGATACGCGCCGAACGCCGCCTTGCCCCGATAGGACACGGCCGACCTGGCGTTGGGTGGGATTCCGAGCAAAAGACGGGCCCAGCCGGTGATCGAAACCGGGACCTCTCGCACCCAAAGCGAGAATCATACCACTAGACCACTAGGCCGCCAACCTAGTCTCATCACAAACACATGTCGCGCATACCCCGACAGCCACATCACATGCAAGCGCATGTCACTAACGCACGCAATACGCTTTTGCCCACCTATGCTGCGCTTGTTCCTTGAATTGATGGGCTCTAACTCTCCCTACAGCACAAGTTACGCACACTTATTATGTATCAATTTATAGAGGTGAATGCACACATCATTCACGATCAGACATCCGTGAACATCTAAAAACGGTGTGTAGTATGCAAACACAAATGAGATATATCTAGCCAAGAATTTTGAACAGAAAGGTGCGATGGTAGGGAGTCACTAGCTGGATGTCGGTGGAAGAGGAGAGGGTGGCAAAGTCGCAGTGTAGCGAAAAGACGAGGACGACAAGTACAGCACCAGCACCACGCCATGTCACGTCTTGGACGACTTGGGGGTCGCAATGGGCTCGCGACTACCCTCTGGCACCTTCTCCAAAACGAACTTCTCCAGGTCACGGAACGTCTTATTGTCAATGTGGTCGACGACGATGTCCAGCTCATCCGGTGAGCTCTTGTCCAGTGCTTTAGGACACTGCTCTTGAAGCAGCTGCACGATAGCACCCAGGTCCTTGGGGTTCACCTTGTAAATGTTCTGGCTAAAATAAATTTTCTCCTCGAGGCTCGGGGCACTTTTCCAGCAGCACAGCAAGTTAGAACCTTCAGCAGACAGCGCCTCATCTAATAAAAAGTGCACCGTACGGAATGCTCTTGTCTGCCTTGGGCACCGGGCCAACGTCCAGCTTCATAGACGTGGATACATGATTCTGGATTTTGTGGCAGCAGTCATTGATACTTCAGCTCATGTAGTATTTTTACAAATAGAATTGTAAAGTTGGATATTGAAAATACACAAAAGACAGAAATGTAGACGAGACCATCACCTCAACCTACACTTGTCGAATCATCAGCGGACAAAGCTTCTCATTTTAACCATCGCCATTAAACCCACCTGAGCATTTCGGGAAACATACATGTTCAACGCTACCAATGTAAGGAAATGCCGTTCTTTCCGACTAGACACCTATCATACTCATCGTTCGCGTGTTGAAGAAATTATTTACATGTACTACATGAGGTACTACTTTAAGTACGTAGCAGCAGTGCTGACAAGGACTGTATAAACGTTCAAAGTAAAAAACGCGTTAAAACGCCTCCCTGAGTGTATATACGACGAACAAACGTCATTATGGAAAATTGGAACGTCTAATCGCGTGG